CAGTATTGTCGTTAGGCCAAAACAAATTTTTTTGTTTGCCCTCTTCGCCTCTCACTCAAAAAGGGGCGGAAAAATTTTTAAAAAAAATTTAAAAAAAATTCTGATGAATATTTGAAAAAAATAATAAAAAAAACTTTTTCCACCCGCCCTTATTTATCATTTTTATTTAAAGAAGGGCAAACAAATAATTTAATTTATTTTTTTTTTCTTTTCCTTATTAAGCTGTTATTATTATGGTAAATGAAAAAGGAACAACAAAGGCCACGCTCTAAAACACTTTAATTTTGGCTGTGCATGCATTCAAATTTCTTTTGGGGCCGAGTTAACTATTGGGGTCGAGTTGACTTGGGGCCAAGTTGACATGTGGCCGAGTTGACTTGGGGCTCTTTGTATGAGCCTTGTTGAATCAATGCAAGAATAAAACCAGTGATTGATAGTAGATTCTGAAGTTAAATACATTTACTTTCATTCTGAAAATACAATATACTTCTTTTTGGTGATTGTGCATTTTTCTCTGCTTTATGCTTTTTATGTTAACTGAACCCTGTTTTGTTCCTGTTTTAACTGGAGCTAGTTGGAGAGTCTTTGCACAATGATTTTTTTTTTTTTTTTTGCTTTATGAAAATAAATAAATGAAATTAAATGAATGAAAAATTGTCGTGAACTGCATAAATATTTCAAAGTAAACATAAAAGGAGGTGATTTTTTTTATGTTATGCAACTTTTTTTTTGTTTTGTATATGTTGTTTCTTATGCTAGGCATTGCATTATTAAAATTATGCCTATGCATTATTATAGTGCCGTAACATATAACACTTTCGTGTTGTTACTGTTCCAGGTAGGCCTACGGATAATATACAGATTTCTCTTATTATAAAGTACAAGTTATGTTTTATAAAGAAGTATAGTATAGTAAATCATGTTTTTAACACAGGAAACTCTCATATGGTAACTAAAACAATGCTAGTCCAGAGTATCACTACTACTGCACTGTAATGCATATACCTATTTTAATACACTACTAGATAGGCTTTTCTTTATCTTGATGTCAGAGGTCAAAAACATTTTTCAATTTTTTTTCAATCATTTGGTGTAGACTAGTCTTTTAAGAACATTTGCTGGAAATTTTTTTTGGATACGACGCCCCGTTATGGAGTTATGATTTTTTAAATAACATGATGTCAGGAAATCAGCCCAAAAGCTTATCTTATTTCTGTTGGTTACGCACTGCTGATTCGCAATGGTTATCATCACTTCAAGATGTCTACCGATTCGTCAAAACGGCCTAATAGTGGAAATTTAATAAAATCTGAAAATAAAATTATAAATTTAGGGGTACTTTAATTGAACAACAAATTAGTATTGTATTTGCAGACTGACTGTAAATGTATCACCTCAATGTCCATCACCGTTTTTTATTTGTGCATTGATTAAAACAAAAGCTCATACGACCCACAGAGCAGCAGATCGTTCATGCTTACACAGACTTGAAAATAGCGCATTTCAATAGAACAACTATTACATAGTATTTTGTATTTTCAGACTGATAGTAAATGTAAATGTATTAAACTTCAGAAACTACTATCAATCACTTGTTTTATTCTTGCATTAATTCAAATACGAAGCCCCTCAACTGCGTTACTCATGCTTGAAAACAGCACATGCGCAAAATACGATCTATAAGGATGAATAATTCATGAGATCTACCAAACTATCCTACTTTACGCAAATTCGCAGCCTGCACACGTATAACATTTTGTTTATTATATTTGTTTGCTCTAATAAACGTTTATTTATTTCAACAATATTTATATATTATATATAAATATTATTATTATTATTCTTATTATTAT